GCAATTGGCAAATAAAGAGAGAAAAGCGTTTGCCAAATGCTTTTTTTTTTTTTTAAGCGATTTAAAATGTGCATTTAAATTATTTATTAATGTTCTTTTTGTTTTATTAATCTACATTTAAAAACACAAATTAAATAAACAACTTTAAATATATGTATTTGTCCATTTAAAAAGTGATTTATTTATATACATTTTTATGTTTGAATTATTCAATTGATAAAATTGATTCTTCATTTTATTTTTAAGTGGCACTCTTTGGCCTCCATACGAATGAGCCGAGAAGAGAGCTAATCTGATAGCCAAATGATCTTAATGACATATGCTTCCTTTAAGCTTCCTCGAGGGAGAGTGCTTTAAGAACAGAAAATACAAAGCACTGTAAGAAACCTTGCTTAGCACACCGTTACCTTTGTGTCTCTGGAACATCTGTGTCGGCGCGTGTTCTTATTGTTATTAGACTGAGGAGCCAACTTTCTCCAGAGCATGTGGATATAATTTTTTTCTCAACATTAACATGTGAAGCAATATAAACATGATAAACATACGACTCAAGTGTATGTATGTTCTGTACTGTAATTGGCACTGTCTGCTTTATTTTTTCAGTTTGCTCTGCTTGAGCTTGAATGATTTTGTTCTTTATATATTATACATATGCATGCATATATATATATATATATATACAGGTGCATCTCAATAAATTAGAATGTCGTGGAAAAGTTCATTTATTTCAGTAATTCAACTAAAATTGTGAAACTTGTGTATTAAATAAATTCAATGCACACAGACTGAAGTAGTTTAAGTCTTTGGTTCTTTTAATTGTGATGATTTTGGCTCACATTTAACAAAACCCCACCAATTCACTATCTCAACAAATTAGAATACTTCATAAGACCAATAAAAAAAATTTTTTTAGTGAATTGTTGGCCTTCTGGAAAGTATGTTCATTTACTGTGCATGTACTCAATACTTGGTAGGGGCTCCTTTTGCTTTCATTACTACCTCAGTTCGGCGTGGCATGGAGGTGATCAGTTTGTTGCACTACTGAGGTGGTATGGATATTTTTTTTGCACACGTTTTCAACTAAAAGAAAACCTTGAGATATAACAATGTTGTTGTCGACGTTGTGTATAAGGCCTAATCATAAGCTTGTTCAGAAATCTTGACAAAAACTTGATTTATTAAAAAATAGCGTTGTTCTTGTTAAACGTCATTCAAATTTAATAAATATTAGAATATTCATTTTTTTATGAGCCGAAATATTCAAATACAATATTTTTGAAAAATGCCCATCCTTAATATAAACAGACCTGCAACCCACCAGTTGTCAATCACTGATTTGGCTGGAGATATTTCCTCTTTCGCTGGACTATTTTAGTTATGTGTGAAGTGGAATCAGTTGTGCTCAGATTTAAAGACTTTTTTTTATTGCCACGAGAGTTGCACAGGCAGGAAGGGTGTGTTGGAGTATTTCCTGTCACCTTTGGTTTTACACCGTACACAAGAAAGGCTGCGGTTTAGCTGAATCTAGGCATATTTAGACTTGAGCGCTAAGCAAACGCTTAAGCGGCGGCAAAGACGGCCTGATTTAGAAGCATTTCCAGGCATCTGCTCATATTAATAGGACTAGTACAACGTCTGGGCATTTGATAGTTTTCCCTCATGTCTCTCTTCTTTTCTGTCGTGGTTTTGATGTTATGTAAGGGTAAATTGGACAGGATGTGGGCTGGCTCTCATCTCTTTGTGGCCGCTTTGTGTGTGAAAGTGCCATCATGTCAATTCATATTTGTGTGATATAATGTGACTGTAATTGTATACTCACTCATTCGTCTTCGCCCATAGCAGCCTCAGCAAAAGGCCAAGCACACTGATTTCATAAGACCCCCCCTGTGTTTGTGCCATTGAGCTAAATGTTAGGCATTCCTGGTATTTCAAGACTGCCAGACTCTGAACGTGTGTGTGTGTGTGTGTGTGTGTGTGTTTGTGTTGGACACACGTAGTGTGTTTTGTGCAGAGTGGTCTGACACCATCTGTTTGTACATGCTCGAATGATCTTAACCAGTTTTACAGCTTTTAACAATTATGATTCAGGCAGGAAGTGCACACGCATCACAATAGCCTTTTCAGCTGTATTCCCTTCTCCCCTCTCTCTTTTACAATAAAGCACTGTCGAGCAGAGTGTGTTTGTGCCATTGAGCTAAATGTTAGGCATTCCTGGTATTTCAAGACTGCCAGACTCTGAACGCTTGTGTGTGTGTGTGTGTGTGTGTGTGTGTTTGTGTTGGACACACGTAGTGTGTTTTGTGCAGAGTGGTCTGACACCATCTGTTTGTACATGCTCGAATGATCTTAACCAGTTTTACAGCTTTTAACAATTATGATTCAGGCAGGAAGTGCACACGCATCACAATAGCCTTTTCAGCTGTATTCCCTTCTCCCCTCTCTCTTTTACAATAAAGCACTGTCGAGCAGAGAGAGAGAGGCAGAAAGCAGAGCCAGCTCACTGGAACAATTTTTGACAGAAAGAAGCCTGTTGTTTCAACAGAGCGGGCGGCTGGTGTCTCTGTAGCGTTCGCCTCCCCCTCTCACCCCTCCTCCACTCACCCCTCGCTCTCTGGCCCCTCCCGTCATCTGCCCTGTTGCCTAGCAACGGCGGACTGGAGCAATCGTAGCAGAGGCAGAGCAATTCAGGGAGCAGATTGGTGGATGATTTATTAGTTGCGCTCAGAATGCAGTGAGCCCAGGCAGCTGAAATGGAGCCTTAAAGTGGAGCCGACACGCAGCGAACGAGACAGCCGCGCACGTAGCCGCCTGCCTGTAGTGCACTGTAAATATTACAGTAGTGGAAACATAATTAAGGTGACATAATCAGGCCGCTAACACGCACCACTCTGGCAGATGTAATTGATTTTTGTCCTGCCTGGTCAGGATCCAGGACCTCGGATAATGAAGGCATGCAAGGAATCCCTTTAACACTTAATGTGTTAAACAAAATCTGCATGTACACACCTTAGACCTGTGGTCACCAGGCTGGGGATTCATTAACACATGAGGCTGTTAGATACTTGTCAGTGTGAGATTAAAGTTGTTCTGGTTAAGTGGCTGTTGTTGGCCCATGGTCACAGTGCCAAATGCTGGTCCGGGTAACCATATATAGTCTCTAATCTTAAAAACTTTTTCAGCACTTTATGGGTGTAACATTGCTTCGATGTTACACCCATAAAAACATTGAGTGAGTTAAATAATTTAGGTACTTGGAGAGTCTTACATGTTGTAACTCATAACTAGTACTTTAGTCATAGGTGCATTTAAAGATTATCATACGCTCGTTTTGCACATTGCACCACCTACTGGTTAATCATCTGCCTCTTTACCACAGCAGATGAAATGTGCTGTCTGTGGTGGGTTTTTTCTAACACCTATGGTTAAGTATCTCAACCCATTACAGAGGCCCTGGCGAGGGTAGATGTAGTTTTAAAAGCTTGTAGTGTTCATTTGCAGAATTAGGATTTTCATTATACTCAAACACCTTATTTATTGCAAGTTTCTTTTTCAAATCTTTTTAAGAGAAACAAGTAATATTCGCTCCCTTCCTCACTGAAGATTGTTCTTCAGAACGCCATATGTAAACAGTTCCCGGTTACATAACCAGTATGCATTTGAGAAGTTGGCCAAGAGCTCCGGTGGAACTCCACGACTGGTTTTGCAGTCGACTTGTATTTTTTAACCACGTTTAAAACCTCTACAAAGATTGCCCTGGCTTTTTCTCACTGGTTTGTGCTCCCTGAAACTGCACAGTTCCCTTGTAAAAACCACCATGAGGGGGTTGGAGTCTGTGTAATGAGAAAAGCAGACGTAGAGTTGATGTACACGCACACCCTTAAAGAGAGCTCTCAGAACATGTGTGACACAACCGCTGCGATCCTCCATGCATCGCATCGCACAGCTCCGCTACAGGTTTTCCAGCCAGCCGCAGACCAGAGGCTCTCTAGCAGAAAGATCACATGTAAAACCTTCCCCTTTGTAGTGGAGGAGCAGAGAGTGACAAGCTATCTCTTGCTCGTAAAAAAAAAACGACGTACCTTCGGAGACTTTGTGGATTTGCAAGTCAGTTTTGTTACTGCCTACAAGTGGACGTAGAAATTTGGGTCGTGTGCCGATTGGACTTTTCATGGGCTTTCCGAACAGTTTTGTTTGTTGAGGACCGTTGACTGCGATTACTGTGGAGCGGGGCTCGCCGCTGGAACAAGAAAGTAAATCTGCTGGTTGTCTGCTTCGCTGGTTATGAATGTTTCTGCCTCCGCTTTTTATGGCTCACAGTCTGTGGCTCTTAAAGGAATAGAAAAGCATTCAAGCTACACAGTCTCCTTTTGTATTACAGCAGTCTGTGTAAACACCTTTTTTTTTTTTTTGGAGTTTAGTTTGTGTTGTAAAAGTTATTTTATTATGGTTTTATTAAGTGATTGTTTTATTTATTAACTGTTCTTGCTTTTTGTTTTAGAGCTTAAGTCGTTTTTCACATTCATAAACCTGATTATTTAAACACTGTTAGCTTAAGTTCTGTTTGTTTGCAGTAACTGTGAGCAAATGGGTTTGTAATTCTAGTACTTTACGCAGGAATCAGGCAGCTGTTTGAAGTGTGAGCATGAAAATCGTAAGATTAAGGAGAAGTGTGTTGTGATTCGTCGTAACTTATTGAAGTTCTGTTTCGCTTTGAACTTTAGTGTTGTGTGACCTCATATGCGTATTGCATTGATGAACTTTCACTAAGATTTCAGACGAGCTGCCATCGTGTTTCTACTGTGGTTTAATCTCGGCTTCTATTCCTGCTTTTGTTGTCATTTCCCCTAATTTTTTTCACTGTAGCTGAGCTGTGCTAGCACAAGCAGAGATTTTCAGATTAAGATCACAACATTGTTTTCTTCGTGTTGCGTTTCACAATGTAATTAATGTATGTGTAGTGCTTCATGTCTTCATGTTTTTCTCTTTTCTTTTCCCAACAGAAACGGTTCATAAAAGGTTTAAGGCAGTACGGGAAAAACTTTTTTAGGATTCGGAAAGAATTGCTCCCTAACAAGGAGACGGTAAGTCATTTGTTTCCTATTGAATACATTTGTCATTGTTCTTGGACACTAAAACAAACTCCTTTTCACTGTGGTTTCTCATTTGTTTTGAAATTGAAGCTACATCTTAGTGGTTTCGAAAACGGAGAGGTTAAGGAAATAATTGAAAGCCATAGCTTACGGATGGACTTGAGTGCATGAATATTAGATTTAACAGTAAGCATGTTAGGTGCTTGAACAGGGGCCCTGAGACATGTTTAGTCAAAACAGAATCATGACTGTTTATTTAATATTTGGTTACAGCTCAGTACAGCTACACACCTGGGGTGTATTCCAGAAAGCACGGTTAACTTACCGTCAGCTAAACCCTGAACTTTCTGTTGATTAACCCCAAACCTTGCTTACTCGAGGTATGTGGTTCCAAAAACGCATCCGGGAGTAAGTTCATTCAACTCAGAGTATGTTCCTGGTTAAGACTCAAGACATTCTCAACAGAGCGATGAATCGATGAGTCACTATGGAAACGGACGCTAAGAAAAAGCGCGCCATGCTGTTTCTTTCTTCTTCTTTTGTTCAATGGTCATTTACATGCTTAGTGCATATCACCACCTAATTGATGGTTGTGCAATCATTTTTATTTATTTTTTTCGTTTAATCTTTAATCCTTGAGAATATGAATTATATTGTTTGTTTGATGCTAATTATATATTAAGTCATATCAGATATGTATTTTGATTTAGAATTTAAACATTATAGAAAATGCCGATCCAATGTGTGAGGAATATAAAATGTAATAAATATCTGTAATATAATAAATTAAACATTACCTTGTCATAGTGTTTTATTATTTATACAGATTACGGTTATATATGCCAATAAGTCGTGGCCTAATGGTTAGAGAGTCGGACTCGTAACCCAAAGGTCTCATACCAGCAGGAATTGTTGGTGGGTGGAGTAAATAACCAGTGCTTTCTTCCACCCTCAATACCACGACTGAGGTGAGACACTTGAGCAAGGCACCGAACCCCCAAATGCTCCCCGGGCGCCGCAGCATAAATGGCTGCTCACTGCTCCGGGTGTGTGTTCACGGTGTGTGTGTGTTCACTGCTGTGTGTGTGCACTTTGGATGGGTTAAATGCAGAGCACTAATTCCAAGTATGGGTCACCATACTTGGCCACATGTCACATCACTGTCACTCACTGTCACTTAAAATGAATATAATAACCATATTAGAATAATATATTACCTTATTTATTACTTATATTAGCGCTTCATCATTAACATATCATACACATACAGTGGGTACGGAAAATATTCAGACCCCCTTAAATTTTTCACTCTTTGTTATATTGCAGCCATTTGCTAAAATCATTTACGTTAATTTTTTTTCCTCAATGTACACACAGCACCCCATATTGACAGAAAAACACAGAATTGTTGACATTTTTGCAGATTTATTAAAAAAGAAAAACTGAAATATCACATGGTCCTAAGTATTCAGACCCTTTGCTCAGTATTTAGTAGAAGCACCCTTTTGATCTAATACAGCCATGAGTCTTTTTGGGAAAGAGGCAACAAGTTTTTCACACCTGGATTTGGCGATCCTCTGCCATTCCTCCTTGCAGAGCCTCTCCAGTTCTGGCAGGTTGGATGGTAAACGTTGGTGGACAGCAATTTTTAGGTCTCTCCAGAGATGCTCAATTGGGTTTAAGTCAGGGCTCTGGCTGGGCCATTCAAGAACAGTCACAGAGTTGTTGTGAAGCCACTCCTTCATTATTTTAGCTGTGTGCTTAGGGTCATTGTCTTGTTGGAAGATAAACCTTCGGCCCAGTCTGAGGTCCTGAGCACTCTGGAGAAAGTTTTCGTCCAGGATAACCCTGTACTTGGCCGCATTCATCTTTCCCTCAATTCCAACCAGTCGTCCTGTCCCTGCAGCTGAAAAACACCCCCACAGCATGATGCTGCCACCACCATGCTTCACTGTTGGGACTGTATTAGACAGGAGATGAGCAGTGCCTGGTTTTCTCCACACATACCGCTTAGAATTAAGGCCAAAAAGTTCTATCTGGGTCTCATCAGACCAGAGAATCTTATTCAGGTGTTTTTTAGCAAACTCCATGCAGGCTTTCATGTGTCTTGCACTGAGGAGAGGCTTCCGTCGGGCCACTCTGCCATAAAGCCCCGACTGGTGGAGGGCTGCAGTGATGGTTGACTTTCTACAACTTTCTCCCATCTCCCAACTGCATCTCTGGAGCTCAGCCACAGTGATCTTTGGGTTCTTCTTTACCTCTCTCACCAAGGCTCTTCGCCCCCGATAGCTCAGTTTGGCCGGACGGCCAGCTCTAGGAAGGGTTCTGGTCATCCCAAACGTCTTCCATTTAAGGAATGGAGGCCACTGTGCTCTTGGGAACCTTAAGTGCAGCAGAATTTTTTTTGTAACCTTGGCCAGATCTGTGCCTTGCCACAATTCTGTCTCTGAGCTCTTCAGGCAGTTCCTTTGACCTCATGATTCTCATTTGCTCTGACACGCACTGTGAGCTGTAAGGTCTTATATAGACAGGTGTGTGGCTTTCCAAATCAAGTCCAATCAGTATAATCAAACACAGATGGACTCAAATGAAGGTGTAGAACCATCTCAAGGATGATCAGAAGAAATAGACAGCACCTGAGTTAAATATATGAGTGTCACAGCAAAGGGTCTGAATACTTAGGACCACGTGATATTTCAGTTTTTCTTTTTTAATAAATCTGCAAAAATGTCAACAATTCTGTGTTTTTCTGTCAATATGGGGTGCTGTGTGTACATTAATGAGGAAAAAACATTAACTTAAATGATTTTAGCAAATGGCTGCAATATAACAAAGAGTAAAAAATTTAAGGGGGTCTGAATACTTTCCGTACCCACTATATATATATATATATATATATATATAATAGGCTATATTACATATTGTAATATTATATGTTGTGTGCTATCTGTCACACACACTAAACGCTCGTCAGTAGATCACACGTGCGCTGAAGTGAACTAACCCTGGAACATAACCTGCTCCGGAGCAGGTTATCTTCAAAGAGCAAGTTACTATGGTTACTTACCCTGAAAGTAACCTCCGATTTTGGAACCGAAAGCTGAGGTTATCCGCTCGCTTATCCTCAAACATACCCGAGTATGTCACATGACCTGCTTTTTGGAATTACCCCGCTGATGGCTCAAAGAACTAAACTTATCTTAAGCTTAAAGTACTATTTGTTAAACTTTTGTTTTAGTGCACAATGCAAGTAATAGAAATTTTAGCAAAGTGTAATTTTGTTACTTTTTTTTTTTTTTTTAAATTAGACTGCACCTTTTTAAATTCCTTGGTTATGTTAAAATGTTAAATGCATATTACTTTGCATTTCATGGTGTCCATAGAAGTTTGTGCGTTTCTGATTTGTTTTGTACATGAAAATATTAGGATGATATTAGAAACTTATCTTTTAAACTTTTATTAAACTATTAAAGCATTTTACAGTAAATACATTATTTAATGTTATTAATACTATATATTATATACAATAACATATTATAATAAAAATATTTTAAATATATTATTTAATTTCCAAATACCATATATGTATATATTTGTATGTGTATATGTATACATGTTTATATACATACACTTATAATTGTTTTTTTTGTGTGTTTACAGTTATGTAAGTTGATTTTTTTTTTAAACATTCTTTTAGCATGCCTAAGTACAGTATTCTTTGCATATCAGTGTTTTTATCCATGTTTTATCAGGTCAGCTGTGTTAGCTTTACTGGCCTCAGTGTTATGTCAGATAGACTGAAACACAAGCTCTGGCTAATAGGTCGGGTATCATGTGCATGTTTTATGGAGTATAGACTTGGCTCAGTGATTAGTCAGTGAAGAAAATCCCTCCTAGCAGAGGGAAGCTTCGTACAGACCTGTCACGCTTGAAGTAGTACAGTCATTGATAGTTTTGTTTTGACTCTTCATGCTGAACAGCACGTATTCCTTTGGCCATGAATTCATATTTGAAATCAACCCTCTACATTGCGAGTAAATCACTCGCATATAACGACAATCTTCACTCTGGGCTAGGGGTCGACCGATTATCGGCGCCGATATTAAGCATTTTTATGATTATCAGTATCGGTCATTTTCAAAACCGATTCGCTGATAAAATAACTTAATTTTGAAACGCACTATTTGGCTCTGATGCAGCCTGTCAGAACTCACCACTCTGTGGCCTAAAGCAGTCTCCGCCCACCGCTCATCTGATTTGTTGGGAGTCATGAGTCCGACCAATCAATGCAGAATTCACTCACTCCGAAAGCGCTTGCTAACTGCAGCTGCTTCTGTGATCACGCATCAGTTGTCTCTCAAAGGTAAGGCAGCAGCAGACGTTGCTTAAGTTGCAATGGATCCCAATCCACTAACATTACACTGAAGTTGCAAAACACCTCAATATTATCTATGATTTCCGCGATGCAGAAAACACGGACGGAATCGCGGAATCCAGTCATATAAATGGAATTCACTGTGGCGCGGAATTTCACGGAATTTGTCAAAGTTTGGATGACTTAATCAAAAGTAGGTCAGTACACTTAGTCGCAATATGGACTAGTATCTGTAAATATTAAGCCAGCAAAAATACTATTTAAATATGGATCCAGCATGTTCTGCGTGTCTCTGTATGTAAATGGCACAGACGAGCGGTGTTGTTTTCTACACGTGCAACGCTCGCGGTGATTTCAGCTTCTGTCGTCTCACTACATGAGGACATAAATACATGAACAACATCTCCAGAACTGCTCTGACTCCCTCTAAGACTCATTTCATGAGCATTTGACAGTTTCATTGGAGTAAAACTATCTTCATATCATTTACATAGACCTACAGAAACAAGTTCCTCATGGCAACCCGTCAAAATATAAATTCGGGTTAGCTTAATGAAATTATCAGAAATATATTACTGTGGTGCAGTATGATATACGTAATACTACTCGGGGATTA